TTTAATAGTGCATCAATCATTGAGAAGCTTCGAAAAACTTTGCCAGATTCTAAAATATAAAATGAAGCACCAAAATAGGCAGTCATTACTCAGAGCATTTTTTTCAGAAACAAATTGAGTCATTATCGGGAAAATTTGCTCGAAGAAAATCGATATACAGAAAAATGATTTACAAACATCCAATAATATTTCATATCAGGAAAAAACTTTCAATCCTCTCTATCGTTATCATTCTGGATAGTATGCACTAAGAACCATTCCTACATGATGATGTTTTCTTACTAGAATTCAGCAAACTTTAAGGTTCTCATGTTGTCAGCGTGTGGACCTCAACTAAACTTACAGATGAACTTGACTATGTGCTGTTCTCTTGCTAAGCTTCTTATGGCATCAGTGATAGACAATTTTGAGAAATGTAAGGATAGTTTTTGTGTAATATTGTGAAAAAAACATATCCTTTTGACAACTTAGAACAAGATCTTCGATATATGAGAACGACACTTTTCTGTTTTTTTGATGTTGTGAATCAGTAGTTTGGAAGCGATCAATATGGAAACTTTCATCCATCTTTGAACGAGAAACTAGTACAGCTGGATGTTTCCAATGTTAATTCGATATATTCCTTAGTTATTTATGTTTTTTAAGTTTTCGTGTAAAATAAAAAAACCTGAAAATGCACAATAGAAAAAGGGTTAGGACAAATATTATAGCGAAAGTTAGCGATACTTTTTTATATGAGTCACACTACTTTATCCGTGATCGAAGTTACTCAACTGATAGCGTTAAACTGAACTGGTTGTGTCAAATATTGCTGAGGCAATAGATATAGGATAATTCATTCGCTCCACTTGCAGAAAACATCGCAATACTGTTGAAATATTCAATTATGACAGAAAGCTCAAGTGAAAGTCACCTGGCACTGGATATGTTCTCGAAAAGTATATTTCGACCACTGTACATTTTTTCCATTTTTTAGTTTGGCCTTCATTCAAAATGTATACCTGATTAGTGGCAGAAAATAACGTCGAAAAAATTTCTCACAGTGATGTAATAACCATCTTATAAGAGCTGCAAATGAGCACTTTTGGACGAATTTCTCTCAATTAGTAAGAGTTAATCTTTTGAAATTTAGCGCATACAAATATTATAATCTTTTCTCACTTCGAAAAAACTTTCAGAATTAAATTTAGCTGTCTTTCTCTAGGAGAAATCCGGCTAACCTCAATTTTTGACCTGATTCTATTTTACCGAAAGACACGGCTTAAAATTACTGTGTCCTATGGATGATGGGTCTGATGAAGTATCAACCAACAAGTTCACTTGACACGATAATGCATAACCTCTGTCATAAGATTCCAGGAATCCGATATAATAGACCTTCCAAATCATATGTCAAGATTCCCATGAAACGTTCATCTAGGTAATACTCAGAGTTCTTTGTAAAATGAACAAATGTGACACTTTTTAGGGTGTAGGTGTAGATGGAGAGAAGGTGAAGGAGAAGCTCCGTACCTACATTCAATTCTTTACTGTAAAAAAAATGTTTACAGACTATGCTTTAAAAGTGTATGAAAAACGAAACGGCTGCTACTACAATCTTATAAAACAAGTTTACTAAGCATATCTATGTAAACTAGACATCATGCTCAATCTATCAAAAACGCAGAATCTTTAGATATCTTTCTGTTCGAATGCAACAGATTCTTATATATTTCAGAGAACTTTTGTATCATCTGTCATAATCGATTCGAATACGATCTGATAACGTACAGGATTGCAATGAAGCTTGAACTCGACTTCTCACTTTAAACATTGTTAGATTGTGCATGTGTGTTAAATTATTGTTGTCTCATGAACTCCTCTTGGCTATGCTTCATAAGAGAGCTTTCGACAAGTTTTTGATGAACGAAATAGATTGATCTGACAGTAGTTGTTGACAAACAACTCAGAACTATAAACTTAAGAGAATATGTTTGGATGTACCAGCGATGCATTATTATCAGAAATTCACTTAACTGTCGTTTTTCTTTTGTCAAATTTTCAGATCTTCCCAACTACAAAAATCATACATTTCCATTTTTATTAATCTCTAATCTTATTCACAAGATCCTTGTTGCAAATTGGCTGTTTTCAAGTAAGAGGTTTATCAAACTTGATTTATATCTTTCAACATTCTACTGTAGTGTAAACAACTAAGAACAATATGAGCACCATCTTTTCTATTACTATTTTTAAGAGAGTAGGAAACATCATTCGATTCAATGTATAATTTACATGCAACAATTTTCTTAATCTTTGAACATGAATTTTCGTAAATTGTGCGCGTGACGGATCACTCACAATAAAAATCTGCGCTCACCCTGAGATCTTCGAACAAACGACTGATGAACGTTTGCTGAATTTCTATCGGCGTGTTTTGAAGTAGCATTATCTCAAGTGTAAGTATTCTATAGAAAAAGTTCGACAAAGACCTTTTAGAATAGTCTAATAGATCTAACCGTGCCTGAAATATCTCACATAGGAGTCAATGGAAAGTTGCAATCTATTGAAATAATTGTTTGCTTTACCTATATTCTGAGAACATAGGATAATGTAGACCAGCTTTTTCTCAGCGTTATAATGCATCGAAAGTTTCAATCTTCTTGGATAACATCTTTCTGTATTGATTCCTTTCTAAAAACTGCCAATAGGCTATCTAGAATATTCAGCTCTCTTGAGAGCCAAATATTGTAGACATGCAAGAATTGCACTTGTTACAATTTCTCATACACTATAACGACAATGAAATCCTTTTTGATAACGAAATTATAGATGACAATAGAGTCGTTCAATTGATATATACAGCTAATTAAATAGACAAAAACATGATTTACTGGCCATGGATCAAGAAAGAAGACCTACGAAGACTATTTATATTAAAATATGTTAATCTAAAAAAAACTGACTAATGAATTAAGTCGTATGACAGAAGTATTTTTATCATCGGCAAATCTTCCCATGAAAGTTCATCTCCACACTTAATAGTCATTTATCTGAACGAAAGATACATCGTGGTAATTTTAGATTCACTCGGAAAATGTTCTATCTATCATGATCTGTATAACTTCGAAATTACTAGTCTTATGGTAGAACTATTTCAGGAGAATAACTATGAGACTTCATGACATGCAACAAAATATTCTAAGACACAGAAAAAGTCAATGGTTAGTAACAATTGAGACAGAATGACAGCCTAGATATACTATATGAAAAAGAAAACTAACGGGTGGGCCAGAATAAATTATACTGTTTGTATTTTGAATATTTTCCCTTTATTCTTCATATGATTCAAACACTTTTTTATATCAAAAGATAGCGCTTGAAATTCTCTACAAAAATGGAAATGATTGAACCCAAAAACTATTCTAGATATATACGAAAAAAGATAAAAACTAAAAACATGAAAAAACCTGGAAAAATTAACCGGCTGGGCACAACGAACGACCGCACTTTGCGTCCCATTTATATCATTTCGCCCTATTAGAAAAACAAAATATACCAAAAGATGCAGCGTGAAAAGCTCTTCAATTTACACACGACCGACTATTTTATAGTTGCATTTTTTGTTTTCAAAATGGACGAAATTTTGAGCGATCAGATTTCGACTGTGCGAAAACGGAATGTTTTTTTGATACAAGCTAAGTTCATTTTTTTAATTTCATCGTGTCATTACTTGATATGTTTTTTTTCAAAAGAATAAAATACACTACAAGATGCAGCGTGAAAAGCTCTACAATTTACAAAGAACAAGTATGAAAAGATGAAATAAAAAAAAACGAATTCAGCTTGTACCAAAAGAATATGCCGTTTTTGCACGGTCGAAATTTGTNAAATTGTTTTCTGTAGGTTTGACGACGTGCTCTTTCATTTGGACAGGTCAAAAAATGTTTTTGGTGAAAATGATTTTTCGGTTGAAAAGCCAAGATCTTTAAAAAACGGGTTTTTAAATCGAAAGCGGGGGAAAACCATTGTGATATTCGGAATCAGCACGTTCGATTACCTATTGTCAACTGAGTTTCAGCTCAAAAGCGAGGAGGCAGTTGGTGGCCTTCCCTCGTTAGTTGACTTATCACAAGCTGTAGTATCAATTCGAAATAATTTTAGTATTACGAATCACTCTTAAAGGACGTCCGAGAGAGAAGAAAGAGGGAGGTCTGTTGAAATCGAATATTTTCGACCCAAAAGTTTCTACCAATACGTGCGCATGTGAAGGCGTCAAATGTATCTAGACGTTCTTATGCTTGCTAGGACTCTTTTGTCGTTCTACATCGTCTTTTGGTGAACTTTTCGAGCTAAATTTTCAAGCAAACAATTTCTCAGAATTCTATGGCATACTATATACAAATGAATGACATCTATACAAGGTAAATTAGTTGATTGATAGACAAAAGTGTGCTTCAACAAACAGACTTATTTTCGAAAGTCTTAGAAGTGAACGCTCAAGTAGAGGGGATGGCTGAGTTTAAGTGTGTCATTTCTTAATACAAAGAAAGCAGGGTCTAACAATTCAATTTTCATCTGAACGTTTTTATGAATGAATCCTTATTACATAACTTTACAATTTGATTAAAGTATCAGCAAAAAGACATCAAGTTTTTGAAGACATTCAAAAACAAGCAGGTTTAGTATCAATTCCATTGAAACTATTGTCTGATACTCGTTGGTCATGTCGTTTTGAATCGTTAAAAGCAATATTAACACGTTATACCGAAATCATAATAACTTTACAAGAAATCGATGTCGATGATGCATTTATAATGTTAAAAGTTATACAAACAGTCGATTTTATTTTTCATATTTACTTGATGAGTGAAGTTTTTCTTATTACAAACATATTATCCAAATTTTTACAAAAATCTGATGTTTCGTTGACACAAGCTTTGGCTCAAGTGAAACTAACTATTTGTTCACTTGAATCAATGAGAAACGAACACGAGTTCAATCGAATTTGAAATGAAACTATGAGTATTTGTGTAACAAATGATATTGAAGAACCTGATGAACGTCGAAAAAGAAAAGTTTGTACGCCTCTAGGTGGCGGTGATGTTGTCCCAAGCACATTTTCTGTTAAAGATAATTATCGTGTCAATTCATTTTATGCTGTATTAGATGTAATTATTGTATCCATTAAAGAAAGATTTAATGAAGATAATTTAAGTATCATCGTGTTATGCGAAAAGTTATTTTTAACAAATGTGTTGTTAAATGATGATGAAGTAAAACAAATTTCTCAGTTCTATAATATGAATTATGATGAATTAAAAAGTGAACAACGTATGTACAAGGTAGCACTTGGGAAAAAAAAACAATTGACATTAATATTAGCAACAAATTTTTTTATGGAAAATCATTTTCATCAATCACTTAATATAATGAATGATTTACTGAAAATATTATGGACAATTCCAGTTAATACATGTGAATGTGAAAGAAGTTTTTCTTCCTTAAGACGACTTAAAACATACATTCGCAGTTCAACAGGCCAGGAAAGATTATCAAGATTATCGTTAATAAGTATTGAACGTACTTTTGACATTGATATAGATACTATTGTTACTGAATTCGTATCGAAAAACCAAGAAAGAAAAAAAATATTTTGAAAAAAAATAAATTGATTATATATAAGTTTTGAAATCAAAAAATTTCTAATAAAAAGTTTTCATTACTATTACTGTCGGTTTAATAAAATTGCTACCCCTAGAAAATTTGCCTTGCGCCGCCTATGTCTGTACAATGACTCTAGGAATTTTCCAAACAATGAAGAAATCCACATAGAAGGAACGTATATATGACTACACCACACAGCTGCTCATCATCCGATATATAAAATATATATTAAAGAATATGAAACCTTTTTAAAACTTAAATAAATAGCTAAACATTCACACGAAAATTAAAACTTTAAATGAAAATCTGATATTTTAATTGAATACTAGTAAATGATCCTACCGATTCTTGAATATCGATCACAATCAGAATAATATTGCATAAATTTGTTTATGATTTAAAAAAATATTTAATGATCATTTAGGTCAATTAAAACTTGTCGCCATTACGATGTAAAAACACTCCATTCCAAGTAGAAAAACCTTAACAGTTTACTAAACCATATGAAATTCATTTATAACATGTACTCAATTTTCAATATACGTTTGCTTCTTTTCGAATAAAACCAAGTATTATTAAACGTTATTTAATAGAAATAGAAAATATCCATACAGAAAAAAGCATTCCACTTGTCAAATGTGATCCATGTTTGTTCCAAACCATATTCTTCGTGTTCTTCATATTCATTTAAAACATTTCTTCACCGTTTAACATCATTCTCAACATTCTCTTTTTCAAGCGACACAAATATTCATCTAATCACTTTACTTACTATGAAACAGTTTTTGTAAAACTCAAAAAAAAAATTAAAATCATTATTTTACTTATAATCCAATCGTAATTTACTCATCTATAAAACAAAAATAATTAATCGATGTTCATTACAATACTTAACAACACTCTACTAAACAGTTTTTTTCAACAATAGATTCATTGACACTTCTCTTCTCATATTAGCAAAAAAATTGGCAATTTTATGCAAAAGATTAAACCTTTTCATATTATTTTACAGTTGATTTACAGAAATATCTTTTTCCTATCCAGCAAAAAACAAAAAAGCTACAAGAAAATTATAACGAATTACAATATTTTCACTAACAAAGAAAAGTTCTTTTCACAAGTCACTACTCATCTTTTCGAAACTTCAAGGATTTATAGTAAGAGAATAAGAAAGTCGTAACACGATCCCATTTTCATTACACATCAAAATCCCAAAATTCTCATTTTAAATTATAGGCAAAAACAAACAAGATGACCTTAAACAATCAAATAACCAGAAACAAACAAATGATCAATATCAAGTTTATTCATATACGTTCACCACTCAATTCATCAAACAAATTAATACTAAAAGTAACATTTTCTAAAATATTTCCGACCGACACTTTGACACAGTCAGTTCACAAAACATCGTATCATTCTCACTTTTGAAAACAAATCCATGATTATCAAAAACATCGCTTATTTTTGAATTCAATCTTCGTGAGATGAGTTCCAAATTCAAATCATCATCATCATCCAATTTAGAAACGAATAGATAATTATAGACAACAACGATTTCTTGTGAATACAATGCTCATGGGATGATTTCAAAATACATCTCATCATCATTCAATAGAAAACAAAATCGATACTACTCAACAAAATCGGTTGTTTTTGACTACAATATTGCTGAGATGAGTTCAAAAATCAACCCATCATCATTGAACTTCAAAAATAAATCGATGTCGATGGAAACAGAAAATTCTTTCTGAATTCAAAGTTCGTTAGATCAGTTAGCAAATTATCTCATCATAATTGAATTTTAAAACAACCAATATTGATAAAACAACATCGATTGTTTTCGAATCCAATCCTTGTCACATGGTACAAAATTCATCCCATCATTATTCAATTTTAACAAATCAATACTAAGAAAATACCTCCATTGTTTTTGAGTTCAATGATCATGAGACGAGTACTTAATTCATCTCATCAATATTGAATTTAAACAAAGAAATCAATGTCGATGAAAAATGACGATTGTTTTTGAATTAGAATGTTAGTGAGATTAGTTCGAAATTCATTTCCACATTTCTGGATTTAATAAAAATTGATGTCGATAAAAAACATCGGCTGCTTTTGGATTCAATGTTTCTGAGACGAGTCCAAAATTCATTTCATCCCTATTGAATGTTAGAACAAATCTATGTTGATAAAAAACAGATTGTTTTTGATTTAAATCCTTTTGAGACGAATTCAAAATTCGTGTAATAATTACCGAATTTCAAAAATAGTCGATATTGATAAAACAATATCGATTGTTTCTGAATTGAATATTGATAAGATGAGTTCAAAATTTATCTGATCATTATTGAATTTATAAAGAAATCGATGTTTATAAGAACCATCGATTGTTGTCGAATGGAATGTTTTTCAATTGAGTTCGAAACTCTTCTAATCTTTATTCAATTCTAGAATGAACCGGTGTTATTAAAAAATGTTGGTGATTTTTGAATTCAGTGTTCGTGAGATGAGTTCAAAATTCGCCTCATCATTATTTAATTTAAAAATGAATCGATATTAATAAAAGCTATTGATTATTTTTGAATTCCCGCGTGATGATATGAATTCGAAATTGATGTCATCATTATTGAATTTAGACGGGGATTAATGCTGATTAAAAATATCGATTTATTTTGAATTCGGGTGTGGATGTGGGTTTGGGTGGGTTCAAGTGTAGGTTAAGTGGAAGAGAAGACCTACACCTACATCTACATCCAAATCAGCATTTTTATGAAAAGAACGCCTTTAAAGGCGTTTAAAGACTTTTTTTAAAACTTTCTAGATAACGTAATTTCACCATTCAAATACATGAAATCCTTTAGAAAAAGGCATTTTAAGGTCTTTTTTAACTGACTGTATTGTTCTAAATGATCTCTACGAAAAAATCTGAGTTTTTTGTGAGAAAAACACCTTTAAAGACGTTTGCAATCGAACTTTTTCAAACGTCGTAAATAAAGTGATTTCTTCATCGATATGAACATTTTTAATAGAGCGAGGTATTTTAAAGCGTGTTTAACAATAAATTCGTTTGTATTAGTTGATTTTCTAGGACGAAAATGCTTTTTTTGTGAAAAAAACCCTTTAAAGGCGTTTGTTTATATGCATTATGATTTTTAATTTCTTGTTAAGCATGAATGGCGGAATAAAGGAGATGGACAATAAAATAATGCCGTTCAATTCATCGATGAGATGTTTTTTGTATGGCACTAATTACAATGGTTGACGGCGATAGTCTCTGGTAAACGTCACCATATCCTATTGTACCCCCATAAAGACGGCCGTATTAGGGCACAGGTTTCGGTGTATACGACATGGTGTTATACGGTCGTAATACGGTAGCTACCAAACGGGTGGAACACGGCCTATTTACGGTCATAATTTTAGCGTTTACCGTTGTCGTAATCATTGACTTGGGAATCAGTGATTTTATGAAAACGATTTACAAGATCAAAAGAAAAAAAACGAAATTAAAACGAAAACAGTTAAAGCCTGTATATCTTGATATATTCGGGTAATAATGCTTATCTACTTTTTATTTTTGAACGAAAAACGTGTGAATATTACATTTATGCATTTGTTTATGTAAATTGAGCAAAGACAATTTACCAGCTTCTTCTTTTAACACGAGCCAATAATCCATATTTCGGCTTCATTGTTATACCTTTCATTTCAGGTGCAATATTTTGACCTGGTACTAATTCAAAGTCACAACGTTGTACGAATAGAGCCAACATAACTTTGGCTTCAAGTATTGCAAAGTTTTGTCCAATACAATTTCGTGAACCAGCACCAAATGGAAGATATGCATATGAATGAGCTAATTTTGGTTTAAGTCCAGTCACCGGATCACGTATCCATCGTTTATAATCAAATTTCAGTGCCTGAGGCCAATATTCGTCGAGACGATGAAGAGCATATACATGAAACACGATCATAGCACCAACAGGAATACGAATTTCACCTTTTCCACTATTACTACCAATAACATGTTCTTTAATGCATTCACGGACGAAAAACGCTGCTGGTGGATAGAGACGAAGAGTTTCATAGAGAACAGCTTCAATTACTTGAAGATTAGCCATATGTTCAAAACTAGGAATTGTTTCATTTGGCAAGACACGATCAATTTCTTCACGACATGCATGTAAAACATCATTATGTGTCATCAAAATGTATAAAACCCATGTCATTAAATTTCCAGTTGTCTCATGACCAGCAATTACAAATGTCATTGCTTCGTCTTTTATTTGTTGATCAGAAAATCCTTCACCTTTATCATCGATAGCCGATAAGAGAAGATCAAGAATATCTTCATCTACACAAAGACTTATTGATTTTCTATCTCGACGATCAGCTATAATTTGATCAACAAATTTATTCAATTTTCTTGCAGCATGATCAAGAATATCTTTGCCCCAAAATGGTAATTCACCAAGAAATTTAACTTGACTGATCATATGAAGCATTCGATAAGTAATAACTTCTTTTACTTCATTAAATGCATCACATATGGTTTCTTTAGCATCAGGTATCGTTTCAAAACTTTGGCCGAAAGCACTTGATGCAATAATAGAAAGAGTCAATGCACTAAGTTCAATATCAAGATTAACTTGATTTTTCAATGAAGAAATTGATAAAAGAGATGTAATTGCTTTTATTGTTTCATTTGACATAATTGGTATCAATGATTGTAATTTAACAAAGTGAAAAGCTGGATTAAGCATTCTTCGTGCTCGTTCATGTTCTTCACCTTCACTGACTAAAAGATTATGTATACCAATGATTGGTTTTGCCATATTAAGAAAATGAGATGGTTTTCGATAATTTTCAGATTTTGATCTACCTAATATATCAGCTATTGATTCCGGTTCGAGAAGCACTAGACGTGTTAGAGGACCAAAGCCAAATAAAAATCGACTGCCATTTTTTTGTGAAAGTTCATGAAAATACTCGACTCCTTTATTTTGTTTACTAGCACGCATCATGTCGAATAATTGTCCAACCATTGGAATAAATGGTTCACCAGGAATACCTTGTGCTCGAAAACTATCATATAAACGCTTTTGAGGATAAATCAGTTTAATATAAACATATGCACCAATAATAAGAATGAATCCAAAAATAATATATATGATAAATAGTAAAATCATTGTGTTACCGATTTGTATGAACTACAATATCAAGATTTGATTATGAAAATTAGTTTATGTGAAGAATTGAATCAACAAAAAAAGAACAACGTGACTATTATATCGTTTACCAACGTTTAGTAAATATTGACTTACCTTTTGAATTTATTTTGTGTTTTACAACGGATAAGATAAAATGTTATGTCAGTGGTAGGCGTTAAATAGGTATGTTGGAGGATCAAAGTACGTACGAAAATATTCATGTCATAATAATTATGTCCGTACTTTGACCTGAACATGATGATTAAGATATTTTCTGTTGTTTTGTTTTCTAAGCTAGTAAAATGTGTCAATAAGAACCAGAGAATATCATGAATTCCATTGCATATTACTGACAATATATGTGCTAGATTGGCAATAGAGGTTTCTGTGAAATAAGATCTAAAACGATTGTAACAGACAGCTTTCAGAGATTGTCAAAGACCATATTACAGCCAATCATAGACTCTACGTTCCAAAGAAGAAAGAGCGACCAATAGAACTTAGATCGCTAACGATAGATATTTTATGTTGTAAAAATCTACTGTTGATCTTAATGTTAACATGTATTTTCTTATTTAGAACATAAGAGTGTGGATGGCTGTAGATGTAGGTGGGGAAGGTGCAGGCTTTGGTGTTAATTCCATTGAAACCCACACCCTCCTCACTGTTCACGGTTCTCTGAAATTTGCGAATATTGCCACTGTGACGTATATATTTTTGGGCCATTCTATATTCTGGTGAATCTGACACGTTTCTCTTATGTACTAATATATGTCTGTATTCTATTCACTATACATTTGTTTTCTGTTGTCGAAAAGAGTGAAGAACCTCTCGTAGGTGGGTAGTGATTTTCATTAACATCACTGTATCCATAATTTAGTGCAATTTGAAGGAATACTAAATTAAGATACCCGACCAAAGGTTGTGAACAACAAAATAGACTCTTCATGCTGAAAATTGGTAATTTCCCTCGGATTTTCTCTACTTTCAGTTTTAAAACCGATATATTTTCTGTTATCTAGACTTCTGAATGCTGAGAAATATTCATTTTTTTCTTGGATAGTGCTTTGGAACTATTGCAGATTTCAGAGATTCGTAATAGACGTATTCTTCAAGAGAAAAGAAATTGGGGGAAGACATATAAATTAGCTAATTTTATTTCTCAAAGAATGACCAAAATCAAAATATTCAACAAAACCTGAATAAAGGGAGCAGAATACTCTATGATAATGATAACAATAATCTCAGAACGAAAAAGCGAAAGCGTTCCACAAGTAGAAAGAACTTACTATTATTTTATCAAGTATCTGAAAGAGCGTTCGTTTCTTGGCAAAGTTGGTGATCATGATCAATTACTCGGTAGCTGGTAATGAATTCAGTGACAGTCACTTGGGTAGCAGATAGATGATCAGTTACTGGTTATTTGGTTAGGGATTGCTAAGTTCTCATCCTTAGAGCATACAGGTTCCCCCTAGAATTATCGATTAGTTGCTGTACTAGTTACTACTATAGTTATTGGGATAAATGAAAATGGATGCATTACCCATTAATTGTTAAAGTAATTAACGGTAACTGACCCTTCCGATTTAAACATGGTAATCTCTGCTCAATGATCACTTTCAAAATGTCTTTTGGTTGTCTACTATAGAGTAATCATATTTGAGATGCTTAACCCTTTCCGGCCGGCTCCTAGAAGACGAATAGCAAAAAATTCTTTTTCCACATATTTCTTATTGTTGTATCATAAGTATAACAAAAATATAATCTTTGAAACAAAAATATTATTTTTTACTTAATAACTGTATGTTACCATTTGGCAACAGCCGGCTGTAAAGGGTCAAAAATTTGAAAAAAGATTTTTTGTTTTCAATCGTCAAAACGCACTATTTCGTGCTTTTTCGTTTATTTCTAATCTTATTTCAAGAAAAAAAACAACTTTAACAAAGAAAAGACAAATAGAACTAAACAACAACAATAAAAAATTACTTTTGACAATATATGTTATCAATGATGATAGTGTTTGAAACAGTTACTCTTATCGTTCAAGCAAAGACGTAGTTGACATTTCGAACAACAAATTGTTGTATAACCAATACAACCAAAATTTCGACAACGACCTTTTGATGTATGAATAGGCCAATGATCAAACTTGTCCAGTCGAACACTTGATGGTGGAATTGAATTTGGCACAGCTCTTGATGTTGTTGTTTGATTATTTTCATTTGATGTTGAATCTAAAGATGGACGACCACGTTTTGTTGAAGGTGTAGGTGGTGCAGATTTAAGCATAGCTTCAGCAACACTTATACGAAATGATAATAAAGACATGGTGTCTCTTTTTTGAATATTAAGCTGTGAACAATGGCGACGGTACAATAGCCAACCATTTACAATTGAAAGATCAATAAGATGAAAGATAATCTTAGTATAGTACTTTTTTGAACGGCCATTAATTCGATACAATGAAATTAACATGTCAATCAAATCAACACCACCCATATGTTGGTTATATGCTTTTACAATATTTGGTCGTGCAATTTGTATATGATTTTTTTCTTTTGACGACCATCGTTCAACTAAGTCGGTTGGTTGACAACCGTACAATGTAGACAAACAATTAACAGGGTGTGGATGTGGATGTGGGTGTGGGTGTGGGTGTGGGTGGGTGTGGGTGTGGGTGTGGGTGTGGGTGTGNTTTCACGGCCAAAAAGTGAAAATTAAGCGCAAAAAAACGCGAAACACGCAAAAAACGGCGTTATTTTTTTGAGCGTGAGTGGATCACAATCGCGGTTCCCGATTGTAGGGTTTAAACGCGTTTTTCCAAATTCTTGTCTGCTCGGGTACATACGATGATAATAAAATAAGTCATTGTTATATCATAGAAAGCCAGATTTTTTCGGTTTATAGATCGTAGATATATTGAGTGATATAAAACTAGATATTTATGAACAAATTCTAAAAAAAAAAAGATTTAGCTAAGACATATTTAAAATAAATGGTCTATTATCGAAAGATACTTTTTAACAAGAATGAATGTGAAAAAGCTTAAGTTCGATCATTTCTTAAAACTGTTCAATCTTATTTATGTCACAGTAATGACATCCATATCGAAATGAAATCTTTTTTTTTATTTCAAATCTTCATAATTATATTAAATAACTGTGTGGAAATTATATTTGATTCTCAGTTTGATAATGTCTGAAACTTTCCTTGAATTAAATCATAATTCATAATCAATTATCGAAATCATCGATCAAACGTGATTTTATTGCTCCGATTTATCATTGATTTTTGAAAATTGGTTCTTCTCTCATAATCGAGATAAATCTGATATAATCACTGATTTTTTAGCGAAATACGATTTATCGCAATTTAATACCGAATTCTCGATAAATCGCCAAAATTGCGGCGATTTTCACGACATGGGACAATTGTATTCGAAAAGTACTTACGTTAGATGTATGCCGTATATTTGAAGCATAAGTACTTTTGAATAAAAAAGACCTAAAGGTTGTCATACTGAAAAACAATTAATGGATGAACTAGAATAATTCACACTGTTTATATTTTTAATATGTTTCCTCTACTCTTCGCTTGATTGAAACACTTCTTTTTTTAACAAAAAATAGTGCTTGAAAATCTCTTTAACACTATATATGTTTGGACCCAAAAACTGTTTTAGATCTATATGAAAGAAAATAAAAAATAAAGATCTACAAACATCTGTAGAAACTAAATATGAAAACGGTAATTAGTGGTGTTACATCTACGTTTTCAAAGAATTTTTTTAGTATTAAATTGTTTTTTTTTGTTTGTACGGGCACAGAAACAACTATAAAAAAAAAGCACTTCCAATTTTTACAGATATTTGTAGGTCTTTATTCTTCGTCGTCATTCAAATAGATCTAAAATATTTTTTTTTTACTTCCACGCATACATGGTTTTGAAAGAGATATTGAAGCGCTATCTTTTGATAAAAAATGTATTTCAATCTAGTGAAGAATAGAAGAGAAATATTAAAAGTACACAATCTAAATTATTTTGGCCCATCCGTTATATTAGATTTTAATAAGAAAAAGTGTCAAATTTTACGACATGAAGCTATCTCAAAAAGACCTATTCTATCCAGCTATGGTGTGACATAATATAGATATAGTATGTTAACTTATCTTCTATATTTATACATTTTTTAAACTGATAATTCAAGATGTATATGAAGACAAGCATTCTGAAATAATAACTAAATTAACAAGCTAAATCTTATTCCATGGGTGTTTATTATTAATGAAATTTTCTTTTTTTTTTTCTTGTACAAAAAATATTCTTGATTATAAAATTCGTAAAACCAATAAAAAAAATTCTATTGATGTTTTTCATGTGTAATATAGCCATTTTTTTTGATTGGATTTGTTTTTTGTTCAAGTCGTTTTGAGTTCTGTTTCCAAATATATTCTTGTAAAAAATAATTAACAAAAAGAAATAATAATGACGTTGAATGAATAAGAAAAATTAACACAAATAAAACAGGAAAATCATAACAAGATTGATCTCCTTTGTAAAACATTGCATGAAAACGAAGTATGCATCCAATAGCTGCAGCTATGAATTGCGTTATCTAAAAGTCCATAGACAAAACAAAAAAAAAGGTCAATTTTCAATGAATAAACATTAAATTCTACCTGTATTACGGTAACAAAATGTTTAATCTGAGCTAATCGTTTTCGTTGAATATGCATAACAGCTAAAGCATAATACAGATACATCATAACATGAACACATGCATTAACAATCATTGGTATTGCGACTTCACCACCTGGTGCATATCGTCTATAATAATAAATATATTCTATTTTATCTTTTAAATTTCAAATAATACTGACGTAGCAAGATACCACATAGGAAACATAGTTGCATGATGATAAACATGAAGAATACTGACATGAGAAAATTTTTTTGTTAAAATAAAAAACCATGTATCCCAAAATTCACAACCTTTGGATATATAATACCACCAAACAGCTTTAGCTAAATAAAGATCTTCTTCATCATGCATAACACCTTGACAGAAGATTCGATAAGATTTTAAAGTTAATGTTCGTACTGCAAGAAAAACAACGTATGCATTAACCAAAATTGCTAACAAATTATATATAACAATAGGAACATGAAGGTTATATGGTTTTGAACGAGTTGACATCCATCGTTTGCCATAATGAATTGAAAGAAGATAACCAATAGTAAGAATAATCATTGGCCATGGTGAACCACAAAGGAACCATGAATGAGTTATTGGATCCGGTCCTGTAGGTGATATACGTTTGAGCATGATTGTAAATATGCACAGATGAAAATGTGCATAGGTATATGAATATGACAAAAAGAAAGATATGCTTCAATAAACACATGCTGTATATCATTAATATAAGAGAAGAAAAAACTGCGTTGCCTATAAATTTTATGAGTAAGGACAAGAAGCGTGAGCTAGATTGATAAAAGATAAAATTATACTGTTTTATAATATTTTTCATTAATATAATAGCGCAACCTAAAACAATTTATTGTTTCTATGTCATATTAAATATACAAATTAAACAAAAACTACAAGATATTTTGAATATTTAAAACAAAAATATTCTTTTTTTTTTTTATATTTCTTCGAGTAAATTACTTATATCTAAACGGCAAACAAATTATTAATTTTGCCTTCATGTATTATTGATATAAATAATGATAAAGCGTGTATAATATAAAGAATATCTTTTTAAATGCATTCAACAATATTATCCTTGATTATTTTTTTTTTTTTTTGAGTATACCTTTATCTTTCTCTATAACACGCCCTGTTTTTTCTTTTGTCTTAAGAGAAAAAAATAAGAGCTTAATATTTAATATTACGAATTTGTTTTCAATTGAAACAATAAAAAAAATATTTGATGTCGACACAATTACTTTTAATAAATATAGATATTTATCTTATTTTTTTTATTTCATTCATGTATTTTACTTTTGTTTTATTTTATAGTATTGTTTGATGAATAAAGTATTCAATGATTGTATTGTGTACTAATATTCACGTCAGCTAACTTTGTTGACAATACGACTATGTCTACTCATGATGGGTTTTTTCTCATTTATATTGATTTATTTATTTTTTGAAATAAATTTTTTTTTGAATTACTTCTGGATCATAGAGCATGTAATGATAATGAGCACAACAAAGACAATAATTGTGACAATTGTTATATTACTAAAGTTCTTGACATATTTGAATTTCTATAATTAGTTAACATTGACAAAACAAATGTAAATGAATGAATAATGAAACATCAACATTCGTTAGCAAGCGATATTATACTGTATAAAATGTGGATCAAGTTCGCTGTGAGTCAGTGTAACCTTCCTATACAACAAACCATTATAATAGTACTCATTCTATTATAATGAAAACAAAGCTAAGATTTCTTGATCACTTGAAAGAATAAGTCTTATTTTACATAATTTATATTTTAAATTACATACGAGAAAAAGCTTGTTAGCGCAGCCCCTTTGGGGCTAAAATGTGGAACTCACATATGTTCTTCAGCTTCTTTATATTAATACGAAATACAGAAGGTGTAAAATCAAGAATTTTTTATTTTTCATTTTCTGACGGGCGCTCTATTTTTCGTTTTCATTGTTACTATTCACTCATTATTTTTTTTTCGTATTTTTTTTGCATTATTTTTTTTAATTTNTCCAAGAAAAATTAAAATATTGCTTGTGTTAGAATTAGCTACAACAATGTCAACTTGTTTATCATCATTGAAATCTCCAACAGCAATGAATTTAGGAGCTGAATAAAGACCAGTAGAATAATTTACTAGTTTTGAAAAATTTCCATTTCCATATCCAAGAAGAATACTAATATTATTCCCCCTTGAATTCGCAACAGCAATATCTAGTTTATCATCATTGTTAAAATCACTAACAATGACTGAATAAGGACTAGAATTGTTACCCGTGGAAAACGTCGTTTGTTTTCCTAAAGGTTCACTTCCGTTTCGAAGCATAATACCAATATTGTTCTTCTTAGAGTTACTGACAATAAAATCTAGCCGACCATCATTATCAAGGTCACAAATTGTAATCGATGACGGATCTGAGTTAACACCAGTTGAATAGATCTTTGGTACTAAAAATTTCCCATTACCTAATCCATATAATACACCAATATTACCTTTTCCACTTCCAAAATCCGAGAAAACAATATCAAGGACTGCATCATTGTTCAAATCTTCTACTGCAACCGACATCAACATGGATCCAGGGCCAGTCATATATGTTTTCTCTAAGAAGAATGTTCCATTACTATAGCCAAAAAAGATACCAACATTTTGGATATGCCTATTGGCTACAACAATATCCACCGAATTGTCTTTGTTAATATCTCCAATGGCAATTGAACATGGACCCGAATTCTTTCCAGTTGAATATAATGCTACATTTTTAAAAGTACCGTTACCATTTCCTAAAAGTATGCCTATGCTATCGTCGTTAAAGTTTGCAACAGCTATATCTTGCATATTATCACTGTTGACATCACCAACAACAACCCATACTGGAAATGAATCCTTAGGCATTGTATACGACATTTGTTCTTCAAACGATCCATTCCCAATTCCAATAAATATACCAATAATGTCAGACCAATCAAAAGCTACAACAATATCTTGTCTACTATCGTTATTAAAATCTCCGACTCCAATGGAAACTGGCGATGACTCGACTGTTGATTGATCTATATATGTGGCAAACGTCCCGTTACCATTTCCAAGAAATATACTTATACTTGCATCTTTCGAATTAGCAACAACAATATCTGATATATTGTCATTGTTAAAATCACCAACAGCTAGTGAAACTGGACCAGCTGATGGTGGTAAGTCGTTTAACTGTTCACTTGCAAATGTACCATTTTCATTTCCCAAAATCACAGCTATATTGTTTTTTTTGCGACAAGCAATAGCAATATCCCATTGGGAATCCTTATTGAAATCACCTATAGCAACATAATATGGAACGGAATCACGCTGTTTTAAAACAATATTATCACTTGTGAATGTTGGATAATCAAATCCAAGAAATACACCTATGTTATCTGTAGCAGTATTAGCAACAACAACATCATTCCAACCATCCTGATTTAAATCACCAACAGCAATTGAATTAGGTAAAGATGGATATCCAGTGATATATTCAGTTGATGAAGAAAATGTTCCATTACCAGAACTAAGAAATACTCTTAGAGCACTATTCCAAGAACTAACGACAACGATGTCAAGTAAACTATCCTTATTTAAATCAGTCACAACTACATGTTGTGGATGTGAATTAGTACCTGTTGAGTAAGTAATGTTGTTCATAAAAGTTTCTTCTCTATAACCAAGCAAAATTTGTATATTATCACTTCCAGCATTAGTAACAACGATATCCAGTAGATTATCATTGTTGAAATCAGCAGTAGTGACTGCTGATGGATGTGAACTGGATCCTTGACTATAAACTATACTATTTACGAAATCCGGTTGATATCGTAAGAGAAGAACACTTATATCATTGGTGCCGATATTGCCAACAGCAATGTCAATTTCTTTATCATTGTTAAAATCACCAGTGGCTATGGAATAAGAATCAGAAGCATCCTCAATAAATAATGTAAATTTTCTTGGAAAATTCCCATGACTATCCCCAAGAAATACATTAATACTTGGAATATCTGGATTCAAAACGGCAATATCTACTATATCATCTTTGTTAAAATCACTTAAAACAGCAGACCATGGACTAGTTCCAATGTCAGTCGAATAGTTTTGCATATTATTAAAAGTTCCATTAGCATATGCTAGAAAAATACCAATTGTGGAAGAGTATGAAAATGTGACGACGATATCGTCTTGGGTATCATTATTTAAATCTCCAACAACAAGAGAGTTTGGATAATAATCACCAGTCGAAAGCCATATCCGATTTTGAAAAGTTCCATTTCCATTACCTAAGTATACGCTTAGAGTGTAGCTCCCGTAATCAACGGTAACAAAATCCAACAACTTGTCATTATTGAAATCACCAACCGAGATAAATCTTGGAGAATAATATCCAGTGGGATAATTTAATGCTTGCGCGAAGGTTCCATTACCATATCCAAGAAAAAGAGCTACATTTTCACCGATATCGTTGGCTACTACTATATCAAGATTTGTGTCGTTATTGAAATCACCAATACTAATTGAAGATGGAATCGAATCGTTTCCAACTTTGCATACGTATCCCGGTTCAAAATATCCATTTCCATGTCCCAAATAGATACGTACTTCATTGTTATAATAAATTACTGCAGCAATATCAGCTTTTTCGTCATTGTTGAAATCACCAATAGCAATCAAAAATGGCTGAACTTCTTCTTCTATGATAGAAGAATAGAATTCGTCGTCAAAAGCGCCGTTTCCATCTCCCATCAATAGATCAATACTGTTATAGGACATGTCAACGACGGCAATATCTAGTTGTGTATCATTATTGAAATCATGAACAGCGATATGAATTGGAAAAGAATTTTCGTCCGTTGAATACTTTGTTTGATTTGCAATGAGAGAAATAATATATGATGTAAGTACAAGAATAGAATTAATATTGTTATTGACGACGACGACATCTGATTTATTGTCATTGTCAAAATGACCAACGGCTATTGAACATGGATTAGAATTATATCCTGTTGAATGTGTTGCCTTCATGGAAAATGTTCCATTTCCATATCCTTCGAGCACAGCTACATTGTCTTCTCCTGAATTTGCAACGATTATATCAACTGTTTTATCATTACTGAAACGACCAGTAGCAATAAACTGTGGATGAGAACCAGTTGAATATGTTGTTGTAGATGTAACTGTTCCGTTTCCATGTCCTAGAAAAATACCAATCGTGTTAGTAGCAGAATTAACGATGGCAATATCAATAAAATTGTCATCATTAAAATAATCAACTGCAACAGAACATGGATAAGATCCATTTCCAGTTGAATATTTACTAATTGAAAATATTCCATTTCCAGTAGCTAAAAGTATGGCTAAATTACTAGTCCCATAATTAACAACAACAAGATCAACTTTATTATCATTGTTAAAATCAGCAACAACAATCGAATATGGCATTGAATCATAACCCATATGATAAGTTGTATGCATTTTAAAAGATCCATTACCATAACCTAGTAATATAGCTATATTAAAAGTCCCATTGTTAACTACAGCAATATCTAATCGATTGTCTTGATTGAAATCTCCAATTGCTAATGATACTGGACGAGAAGAATCCAATGGAAATGTTATTTGATTTGAAAAACTTCCATTACTATTGCCAAGAAATATACCTATATTATGAGTACCATAATTAGCAACAGCAATGTCAAGTAACGTATCATTGTTGAAATCTCCAATAGCAACCCAATATGGAATAGATCCAAATCCAGTTGAATAAGTAATTTGAGATGAAAATGTTCCATTACCATAACCTCGACGAATACCAATATTGTCAATACCAGAATTGACAACTACAAGATCCAAGTAATTGTCATTGTTTAAGTCTCCAATAGCAACATGCCGTGGATGTGAATCATTTATAAATATAGTTTGAGCTTTTCGTTTGAATGTCATTTCACATTTTTTATCTAAACATCATAAATAAAACACATTAGAGAATAATCATCATTAGCTCTTCAATCGTTTAATTTTTGACTTGAAAATCTACTGTTACGAAATATCTTGTGTTTTACTAATGACATCAAGTTCTGAATGTAATAATAGACTCCTTTTAATTTAGCATTGTACTAACTTGTTATAAAGATAAAAATCTAGATGATTGTATAAGTTAATTATTTATTCATAAATGTTATGAGATTAATAAGTAACTTAGTATAGAGTTCGACAGATCAATCAAAATTACAATGGAGAACTGAACCGAAATCAAAACTTTAGAAAAAAAACATTTAAAAACTGTTCAAAGAATTGGAATTGTTAAATCATTAGATAGATACTGAAATTTTCAGATTTATGTTAAGAAATCCTTATTTTCAATTCTTAAGATTACAGAATTCCATATATTTGTATGATTTGGGTTTTTCTACAAGTGTTGAAATATGTTACATCTTTAATCTCAATAGTTCAATAGTGAAAATTTGTCAAAATATATTTAAAATTATCTCATCTGTGTGATTATTCAACGATTTCGATTCGCGGCATGTCATGATTATTATGAAAACGTAACTAGGATTGTTGTTTTTCATTTTTAGCAACGGGAACAACAGTTCTCGATAATTTTTGGAACTACCGTATTCTACTACATTGTCTCATTTTATTTTCTATTTTTTAACATCAACTATATAATATTTTATCATGAATTGATTTTATCGTATTTGTAAAATTTCTTAAGTATGAAGAAAATATGACTACAANTGGTCTGATCTGATGATCTACCAGGCAGCAGGCCAGGCCAGTCACTCTGAACTACTCCGACAAAAGTCAGATAATATTTATGGCACTAAATCCCTTTTGGCGACACCTTTTTTCTTCACGGTAGGTAATATTGTTTTTTAGAAACTAACAGCTATACTACTTGATCCAGGCTTCATATCTAAAAGAGGTCCATATTCATTGATGTATAGGAGGCCATAATCTATTTCTACAATGACGAAGATCCTTAATGTTTATCGCAAAGAATTGTGACAAATCTCACTGATATAAGTCAGCATCAGAGACGTCCATCGCGGCAGCGGCAAGGTTTTTTGAAAAAGCATCGCGGAGCGGGAGACTTTTTAGCAATACAGTCGCGGCAGCGGCGGCACCTTATTTCTGGAAGACATTGCAAAAACTGCATGAATTTGCACAAAAATTGAGTGTCCACAGACGTAACACTCTAAGACTCAATGAATCTCATCGATTAGTGACAAGAATTGTATTTCAATACATTGACAGCAATGAAATTCGAAACTTTTTTTCGAGTACCATCGCGGCAGCGGCGCGGGAGAAAAAAAATTTTAAATCATCGCGGTGCGGCAGCGGCAGATTTTGAGTCGCGATGGACATCTCTGGTCAGCATAAGGTTTGTGACTGCGCATCAAAATTTGACTGTTGAAATGTTGGCTGATCTTCCATATTCCAGTTTGATTTCGATGGTTTCAAAACATTTAATATGTTTTCAACGATTCAAACCTATTTTGGATGTAGGTGTGGATTTGGATATAAGTTAAGAAACACTTGCCATCCACACCCAAAAGATAACATGTGATCTTAGTACAGAATTGATCATTGGCACAGGACAAGAAAAAGTTGCTTGACGTGCATATGTTTTCTTGGTTCATTTTGGTATAACAAAAATCGATCTTTTTGCACAAGGTACACTTAAAAAGCCCATGTTCGTTCTGTCCGAAGAACGCTGATAAGCAACTGAGAAACAGAATATTTTGTTGACTGTTAAACAGAAATGCTTGCAAGATTCAAGAGCTATATCAACATAAAAAAGAATCGTTATTATGAAAGCTCGCTCAATTGAATATTGACTATGCGTTCTGTTTCTCTTCGTGAATAAGAAAAGAATCCATAAGTGGCAGCCTACAAGGACTGTCATTCCTCGATTGCTTACTAGCCTTTTTTTTTCGACGCAAGTGAAGTAAATCTTTGATAATTGGTGTATAGAAAATAAATGAGAATTGACAAGGTTTTTTATAACATTTTCTATATCAAAAGGGTTATGATGATCAATTTGCCACAAGAAGGAACTTTTTCAATAAAATTTTGTTATTTCGTATATAACTTCTTATTTATTTTTCGAAGAAAAGAACATCATAAAAATATTATTAAAAGGTTTCTACTATTTTATGAAACACGATTGAAAAATGAATGTTGAAGTTGTAGAACGAGAAAACTGAACTTACCTCAGCAGACCGTGATATATAGGTCACATCCTATTATGGTTTTCCGGACCAACCTTATTGAATTTTAGACGTTTCAGTTATAAGTTTTTGGACATACATGTTGACATGTCTATCACAGTCTGTGATGCTTTTGGGGATGTATTCTGATAAGATGGCTGTTTGTCCCTTAAGAAGCTATAATAGATGTGGTAGAATTATTCGTTTATGGCTGAGACAGCTCGATCGTGTTTCACATTTTAATCCCGTAGAGACTGTGCTGAAAGCTTTTTTACCCTAGTATTCATCAACAGACTCTTCTTACGAAAGAAATACTTGTCACATTGAAGAATAACTTTTATGATGCGTAAAAAAAAGGCATATTGGTATTAGATTCTTTTTCTATACAAAAATAATTCATCTGAATAACTAAATAGTATTTATGATATTAACGAAGAACAATCAAATGGAGATTGCGAACAATAGAAACACATCTCAAAGACAAAGCGATAATCGAATTGTAAACAATATTAATAGGGAAAAACAGAAATGAAATGGAATAGGATGGGCAATGATAGGTACCGTTTTATGTTCATAGTTGATTCAGGAATACAATCGAACATGTTCAAGTTCAAAAGAGTAATTAGATATCAAATGATCATCAGTCCATATGGCAAGTTATCATTGCTCATTTCTATGCAGAATTTATGATTGTGGCCAAATTCACTTCTCTGAAAATGATCGCACATCATGGGCATGCATAGTGTCTTATCAGAAAGAACGGAACATTTTCATTTCAAAAACATAATCTCTGAGTAATCATAGTGCTCAAATGACACCGATTGTGATTGTTTATTGAGACTTGTCTTTTTTGTCAAATGCGTAAATATGTTACTGTCGTTGTATGTAGTATATTCGCTTTCCATTCGATGCTCCCCATACATTTGACAATAATCAATCCGCATCAATTGCATAACTAGAGATATATCTTGTCGAATTTATGCTTGAACAATAGGAACTACCTCTTCCTGAACTGATTATTTCCGTGACTGTTGGTGTCAAATTATTTAAATTAACATCACCTCGAGTATACAGAGCTTTTCAGAAATGTCTTGTCTCAGCTACTGTAACTACCGATAAGTGAAAGAGGGAGGAAAAAAACTATATAATTCTCGTGAATGCGTGCAATTGTGATTTTGATGTGCAGGTGTTCACGGAAGGATCATATTCGAGAGTAATGAAAGAGACTGGTAATGCATTTCAAAATCTACGTGTAAGGCAAATAAGAGACATGCGCAGGTGTCTGTCATTGCTATTGCAAACTAGAATTTTGTCACAAGTTATTTGCATGAATACTGCTAATAATTATACAATATGTGTATTGTACGATATAATATTTTCTTCCAATGACAAATGGTTATTTACTAGGAGGTGCAAATTAACATGTCTGGTCTAGTAGCAGACTATGAAGGACTAGGGGAAGTGCGGGTATGATTCAAGAGAAGATGAATACTCACACTAATACCCGAGTCAGGTTTAATAAAACTACTAGCTAACAACGAAGTGCTCTCATTTATATGGCATTTAACAAGGAACACTTCGAAGCTACATTAGTGATAAAAACCTCAAAATCGATAAAATTATAATTCAGCATTCGAAAAAGGAAGATGAGTTCCCGTATATTGAGTTTGAGAGTATTAATAAATCACATAAACAATAACAGTAAGATCTTGATCACTAATTTGATTTCATTTAAATGAAGTCGACGACGATGAAAAGTTGGCTGATAATATATTGATTTAAGTTACAATTTCATCGTCTTCCACATACATACAACACAAGATGAAGTATGTCGAGCGATTAATGATGACGACGAGACAACTTGAACAAAGTGTACAATTCGTTATCGCATATTTTTTTTAATATAACTTGTTCCAAGCTAAGTATTCAATATAGAAAGATTCAGTACTTTTGGGCATGTGCGAGAAAAATTATGAGAATGAGCAAATGATGAAATTCATTGAGATTACACTTGTTTAATTCTTTTTATTTTCGTTCATGGTAGCTTTTGATCTTACCTACTTCTTCAATAGAGCATATTGAATTTATTGAGTAGAGAAAAAATTTCTTTTCAAGATAAATTTCATACAAAATTTATGAACGTGAATATTTGATCAGAATCACCTTAACAATAAATACGAAAATATATACGAAATCAGTGCTATTGACATAATTTGTATAAAATAGAAAAAAGAATATGCCCAATTCTATTAGGTTTGTCATAAATCATGTATAATAAAATACTTGACATATTGTGATCATTTTCAAATGCAAAATGATCTCGTTTTTCTTATTCTCTTTAGACATGAAATAAATGAATACAAAAAAATCGGATGTTTAGACATATTTTACCAGAAATTAAATGTATCCCGTTTTATTTTTATGCTTTTCATACCACTATGACTTTCATATTTTTCACCCTTTAGTTCTTTTGGATATGTGCATGCGTGAATTAGCGTACTTCATTCATTAACATCCGCCAGAGTTGTAACTGGTCGAGAGTTTTTCAACTGATTGATATCTTGAATCATTATTAATCGATTTATAGGAATGCCTTAAGAAAAAAACATTCATATTTCTTTTCGCACTCAAATTTTTAAAAATCTACCAGAAGAAATAGCATGTTGCAGTCGTTTCTATCTGTTGCTAGGTTTCTCAAAGATGAATGTGTGATATTTCTATATATAGCGCGAAACAAGAGTCATTTACTCATCAACTGATTTCTAGATTCTAAATCTTGAATTTTCTCACTTAGCCAATTTAGATAAACGTAATGTTTCTCTTCGAGCAACGATCCAAACCGAAATTGAATCTTTACCAAAACACATATATGATATAGATTTAGCTCATCTAACACAGTTTCAATTGTACTTGTTAAAAAATAAAACTGATAATTCTTGAAAAACCACTGTTTGATTGTTTTGACAAGAACAAGCAAACTTGTTCTCAACATATTTTATCAGAGAAAAACATCCCATTTATAAAACATTTTCGAACTGAGGAAAATCGACTGGACAGGATCGATTACAACTCTGGCAACCACTCACACGCACATCCCAAAGGACTGAACCGATCAAAATATTCTTACAGCTTTAAAAGCTATGTTAGCATAAAAGTAAAAAGGGATAAATTTGATATTTCGTGGACTTATGGATGTTTACAGAATTATTCTCGATCATCACATATTTCATGTTTAAGATCTTCATATGTCGGTAAAACAGGAAGAATCTGAGACTTGAAATGTTCTGATCTACCATACGCAACAATCCTGGAAGCTCTATCATAAAAGTTTTGCCATTGAATAGTCAATCCAGATGTCCATGATCGATCTAAAAGCCATTGCTTCAATTGTTCATCATTGATTGATCTATACAAAAAGAAAACGAATATGATATTTTGTCAAATTTTAGCTTATACTAACGAAGATGTATTCATAATATCTTTCCATGCTGATTTATCATTAGATGCTATACACATATATAAATCATTCATACGAGGATAATAAGTAAACATATGCAGACACATTTCATCTCTTGTACTTTCACCACCCTTATTATATATATATATATAGAATAATTCGAAGTTAACAAATAAATGATTAATTAACTTACCAAAGTAATTTTATTTTTATTCATTGTATTATAAATACATCGTGTAGCAAATGAATCTCCCTATTACTAAAAAAATAAGTGGGATGAAAAAGATATGTACATTTTCTAACTGGATAGAGTTTGATTGGCTGTGGTAATCGACTTTGATATTGATAATTAAAATTATATTTTTCACTATTAAACAAATATTGAACCGCTGTATTATTTCGAATTATTTTTGTCCATACAGTTATTCCTATACAAAGAGGAATGAGTTAAAATCATGAGATAATGAACAAACCTTGTAAATGTGTATGTGGTAATGCAAAAACGACATTAATACCCGATTTAGGAAAGTTCTATTTAAAAAAATATAGTTTTAAGTTTAAACTTAAAAATACATACACGAGTAGCTTCAGAAGGACAATAAGAATCAACTATGAATCGTTCAACTTTTGGTGGTATAGCTAAAGCAGATGGACTAGAGCCGGTACCAACTGTGAAAAACCCTAGATCATATTTTCGAAGTTCATTACCAAGATAAAATCGAATTCCTGTACTATCACGACGGTCTGAAAAATGCAAAAGCTTAAAATTTAAAAAAAAAACAAGCTTTTCTACTCATCTTACTTAACACTAATCGTGGATTATCATAATGCATTTGGACCATATAATATTTTATTTCATAATCTCCTCCGATACCATAACCAGCTTCTTCAGGAAATTCTCTCATCTAAATAAAATATCTGATCAAGAATTATTATTACTTCTTTCGAACTTACAACATCACCACCAACAGCCCATACAGTAGCAAGATTCGATGCACATAGTTTTATTTCATTGGCTATTTCATCACATAAACCATCCGGTAATTTATCATCATTGAACATAGCCATAGGATCACATTCATATAAATCCAAATGATGAACAAGATCCACATTTCGTGGATCAATTACTATTTTATGCTACATAAAATTATGCTTTGGGCATACCAAAAGTAGTAGCGAAGATACTTCAGTTTCTTATAAAACAGCTTGAAGAAACTTTTTCTCCATATAGACAAATAGTAAAAACGATGCTCTATTATTTCAACAAGAGGTTGAAGATGAACCATAAATACTCTCTAAAACAAATCGTTTTAAGGCTGAACCTTTTCTAACTGTAGCAGGAGTTGCAAAAATCTGTAAGGCTTCGTTTTAAACTTGAATGTTTTCGCAGCTCCTGCTGAACTTGAAAAGGTTCGACATAAAACCCTTTTTTAGAGTGTATTTGTTACTGTAGTTCGGTTTTATTTCACCACCAGTACCTTTTATTCACTCTAGTATATATATCGACAGGTACGTATTAGAGGAGACGAGAAAAAAGAGAAAAATCAAGAATAGAATACATATCGACGACAATATGAACTGATGCAACTGTCACACATCATAATCAAACAGGTCTTGTTGAAATTTTATTATTTTGATATTAGTTGAAGAATGATATAATTGCGCATCATTTTTCCGGTCAATCCATATTGAGAGAAAGTTTCTCTAACCTTTTTGTAAGGAATTAAAGTATATCCGACACTACTTTTGGTATCTTCTAAGTAAACAGCAAAATAGTAATAGTAAAGCGAAACATACAGCAATTGCATGACGTTTCAATGGATATCCACTTGGAGCTTTGTATATTTTACAATGATAAGTAGTATCAGTTGAAGGTACAAGATACTGAAAAATGCAATAAATATAAAAGAAAATTACAGTCAGATATACTAACGTTATTCAAACGAAACTCGAATGTATCAAGCCCAATGAATTTATTATCTGAAGGTGGATCAGCATAAGAACGAAGTGGAATAATTCGTGTATTTCGTCGAGTGTCATGATATGTAATATCAATTTCTGGTCGATTTGAATCGAGATCAACAAGACCATAAGCAAAAATAAGAGTATTGGTACCAGACTTTAAAATAAAATTCAATATTGTTGGTATATTATTAGAAAAAACTGTTTTTTTTACTATTATTGGAAAGTCCATCGAATCACAAGTGTCCAGCAAACGTTTAAATTGAATAACTGTCCATCCATCTTTTTCACGACCTTGAAGAAGAAACCAATCTTGCGTTGTATTATCAAGAACTGGTCTTGCATTAGTTGTTGCATATCGATCCTAATAAAAAAAATGGAAATCGATTAATTTAATCTTGACGAAAGATAAATATTTGTTAATACTTGAAGATAAACGTTGCCAGAAGACTCGACCCATCCAACAGCAATATCAGCACCTTTCATACCACCGGCTAAATAGTGAATAAATACAATTAAATCTAAAATTTGTTGTGTTCATGCTCACCTGGACTGATACCAAGTGCAACCCAACCTGTACTTTTAATATGTAATTCAAACATAATCTCTTTTTCATCATCATCTATTGTCCACCAAAGATCAGCTATATCTTGTTGTAATTCGGTTGAATGCTTATAAGTAGTAAATGGTTGAATAGGACTAGATATTCCAGTACATGTATGAATCACAATGAGCCAGATGCTCAATAGGATAATAATATATTTCGACATGATTTTATCTCATTAGATGTCAGTTGCATTTCGAATAACCTTAATTTAACGTTCTTATATTATTTTCAAAATGTCAATGTTTTTGCATCGGTTGTTTGCCTAAGAATTATTTTTATAGTGTTGATATTTATTCATGAAATCCCAAGCATATAAGATTTAGTAAGTGATAGGTTATGTTGTTTTAGATTAGAGATGATACGTCTTACGAAGTGAGAAGAAAATTCATACAGTCAGACATGTGATTTTAATACGTTACTTTTCTATTCGTTTGTCTATATCAATTATTTTATCATATTTACACCAATCTATAGCATGTTTCTTCAGTAACTTATTTGCTGAAAGCTCAAAAAGTTTCTGGAAATATGTATTGAAGTCAATATTGCAAAAGTCGAAGTGTAGTCGACATTATGGATGGCGCAAAGTAAATGTTTACAGAAAACAATAAAGTTTAGAATGGGCCCATTTTGTATCTTATCTCTCAATAGTCGACAGTGCAATAGCATAATGTAGATAGATTGGATTTAATTTTTCTCAAAGGTATAGCACATGAAAGCTTGAGTATGGCATCACTTGACAGTCCATTACGAGCTTCACATTAATGTGACGCTTATTATTGAAAACAACAAGATTTACTCAAAACAAATGAGGTAAAAGTCAAATTTCTATGCCTTTACGTTTCGCTTACTGGCTACTGTTTTCTTCAAAAAAAACTACAAACTTAACAATCTTCTGAGAGGATAGAGATGATGTCCTACAGACTGTTTTAGCTATGTATTGTGAGCATTCATGTAGTTGATCTCCTCCCTGATTTTAAAGTAATGGCCAAGCCATTTTTATTGGTAACAAACAGTAAAGCAGATCAGCTATTGAGTTGCATCTATTTAATATTAGCGAATCAGACTCCAACTTCTTTGATTAAAGTCATTAAGTATCATATAGTCAGTGCGAGAGAGATGAAAACCGATTTATGATTATGTTAGTGGTTCTGATGTAGCGGTTAATTTTGAAGATCGCTTAAATAATTACATGTCGGATATATATAAAGGGACGTATATTTATTAAGATAACAATACACAAAATTATGTCAGTATAGGTAAATCCTCGAATGTGAACTACAGGCCGTAGTAAATATATATTGGATGTAGTGTACTGCGTGAATCACGAATCACGGTCACGATCACGAATCACGTTCACGCGTGAGCGTGATCGTGCGTGATTATAATTTTTTTTTCAGATCGTGATCGTGATCGTGCGTGATTAAATTTTTTTTTCTAAATCGTGATCGTGACCGTGAGTGGGAAAGAAGTTTTCTTCGTNCCATCACAGATCGTAACAGAGAAACTGTAGTTCTAAAGCATTAGATAAACCGTTAGCTACAAATATATCGCAAATAAATGGAACAAAACAATTTCCATTCAACTAGTAACAATAGATCCATCGTGTTTCACATTTTCAATCCCGCAAGGGATTGCGCTAACAGCTTCTTTAAATCAAAGTCAGTTTTTTTGCCTATAATTTCGTTATAATCGTTCATCATATAGGTAAAATATGATCCTAAGAAGAGGCACACAAGAGAAAATAACAGAAACCAAGGATTAATTCGCTTGTTGTTCAATTCCATACGAAGGCAAAAAGAGACAGTTTCGATAAAAAATGCTTCTCTGCATTGAAAAAACCTCACTTTGGAAAGATGAGAGATCGATTCTCTAACCATTGAAGATGATCTTAAGTGTCTAGGAGAGGCATTTTCGCTCTAATGGCAGATTTGTTCAATTCGACAGTCATATCGAGAGAACGAATAGATTCGAGCAAATTCGAAGAGAGAGAGACGAATGTGCCGAAGATGAGATTACACAACGAAAAAAAAAAGATTTCCGTCACCAAATCGTTAATTAACCATCGATTCAGGTCCAATAGATTTGTAGCATTCTGTTGTACGTAGTTGAAAACCAAATGTGATGCTTGAAATTTCATAAGAACCACTAAAATGGTGATATTTTTTTTGTTTCAAAACGATCCCACATCAAGATATAGGATTTTCGAAACTTCATATTTTTGAACTATAGAATCCAAACAGCCAGTGTTTTGAAAATTCTGTATAGAGATGTGGAATCACTCTGAAACGCAAAAAACCTTCACCACTTGACTCATATGACCACTTACTCCTCTTCAAACATGGTTTTCGGTGGTCAGAGGTCATTCGGCAAAAAAACAAGGTTTCTGAAAAAGCCTTGTATTTCCTGACCGGAACAAGATAAAAATGTTGGCCTCGAGTAGATTGTAAGAGAATAAATTTCCTATCTAACAGTGATATAAAACTCAAAATCAAATGGCAAATGCCACTGAAATCTCATCCCCAAAACTCACACTTAGAAATGCACCTAATGGATCAATTGTTTCACAAATGAAAATTAAGATACATGGATGCCCCATTCTATTGTTCATCGAATGCTGAAAATTCCAAGTCTCCATCTTGTTATTATCGCAAGCTATTCGAAAAAAAATCGAGTGCCTTGGACTCTGACGCGGAGTAAGAGTTAAGATTCTTTCTCCGATAAATGCCTATTCTAATTAAAAAATGAATCTTTTATTTGGAAAACTTCGCTCAACGTCAACACCATCCAATACTTAAAGTTGACTTATTCTCATAAGTGATATTTCATTTGAAAGAATTTCAACTTACACAAATAAATAAATTTGATTTCGATAAAATATTTGAAAAAAAGCAAATTTTTGGTTTCAGTGTTGAGAATATGAATTCGTTTTACTAAAACATTACAAATTTCTGAAATTAAAAATCAAATTCTCATCAAATAAAAAAAATTAAAATTTTTTGTAATTAAGACACGTTTTTTCATGCGATTAGTTATCGTCAAGAAAATAAGCGATCCCTCAACTAAACATTGTTCAAAAGAAGTGAATGACTCGTCTCGATGAAATACAATTTTATTTCTACTTCACATTTTCATTTTCATTTCAGCACCACTACGTTCAACTTCAATTGATATTGATTCGAATGCTAAATGGATACAAAATGGTCTCACTGTAGCTGGAGGAAATGGACAAGGCAGTGGAGCCAATCAACTCTATCAACCATTCGCTTTGTATGTCGATGATGATGAAACAACTTATGTCGTGGATTGTTCGAATCATCGTATTGTAGAATGGAAATGTGATGCAACGACTGGCCAAGTAGTTGCTGGTGGAAAAGGAAGTGGAAATGGAGCTGATCAGTGTAATTCCCCAACAGATGTGATTGTCGACAAAACAAGAGATAGTTTCATCATTTCCGATTACGGAAATAAAAGAGTAGTTCGATGGCCTCGTCAAAATGGTACTAGTGGAGAAACTATCATCTCAAACATCTCTTGCCATGGTTTGACAATGGATGAGAATGGATCTCTCTATATCGTTGATCAAGAAAACCATGAAGTGAGACGATATCGAATTGGTGACACTGAAGGAACAGTAGTTGCAGGTGGAAATGGACAAGGAAGTCGTTCCGATCAACTCTTTAAGCCTTGGTACGTGTTTGTCGATCGAGATCATTCAGTGTACGTATCTGATTCGGCAAATCATCGTGTAATGAAATGGGAAGAAGGTGCAAAACAAGGCGTTGTTGTAGCTGGTGGTCAAGGACAAGGAAATAGTGTTGCACAGTTGTCGATACCTGAAGGTGTCGTTGTTGATCAATCGGGCAATGTCTATGTGGCTGATTGTCATAATCATCGGATCATGCGTTGGTCAAAAGGAGCTACACAGGGCAGTGTCATTGTTGGTGGAAACGGTACAGGAGGGCAGTCGAATCAATTGTATTATCCCAATGGTTTATCATTCGATCGACATGGCAATCTCTATGTTGTGGATCAGAACAATAATCGAGTGCAAAAATTTAATATCGATTCAAATTCATAGTTTGCTGTTATTATCGTCGTCTTTGTTGACAGCTGAACACTTTACGACGAACCGCAAAAAAAACGTTTTTCTTTGTTGTCTAAAATTGTTTCATTTTGCCTTCAAAATGTATTCAAAAAAGAAGAATAACGAAAAATAGGAAAAATCAAAATAATGAATTCTAGTGAAAGAAAAATGGGTCATTTATTTAATTCATTGGTTAGTCCTAGTGATGAATAAAGAGAAAGAAAAATTACACTATCAATTTAAAAACAAAGTAAACAAAATATGCATAAAAAATAATTAAATAATTGGAGCGATGTGACTGAATTTGATGTATTAAGAATGCTTCGAATGGCCGAAAAGAATTCATGAAAGTCATCGTATTCTCAGGATTCGTAGAATCCGTTAGTTTTACAGAATTTTTACAACATATGATGACCTAGCAACCATTTTAAAATATATTCGCAATGGCAAGCTATTCATGTCATGTTATAATATCATTTTTTGTCTATTTTCTATTGAAATAACCAATAGTATCTTTAGATAAATCATAGATAATCTGAAAATGGAAGAATTCAAATTAGATTAGATAAGATGAAGAGATAAATATTAAACAGACAGGACAGATAAATATTCAACAATGCACATATTTCAAAATATACATGAAATCAATGTCAAATATTGATTATTGAAATTAAAAGGTGCCGAGTTCATGACACAAATAAATTAAAAAACAATTGAAAATTTCTATATTTTATATATGAGATTTATTTCGAGAATCTATTAGGCTGTACCAGAATTTAACCATTACTTTGTACATTGATAGTTGAACTAAATTGAAGAACTACTCTTCAAGTTTTAGCCTTTCGGTGGTACTCACATGGAGAGAGATGATGCGATGTGTGTTTGAAACTTGAAAGTTGAAACTTTGATTAAATTCAACTATCGAGTTTGAGATGTATGGATTTATCAGTGCCTACCAGCATCTATCAGGGTCCATCGATTCTGATAGACCCAACTGTAACTATTGATACAACTTAATAAAAAATGAATTATGCAATAATTCATGTTTTTTGAATTACTTCGTTATTCATTTGCATCATCCAATGAAAATGTCAAGAAATAAAAACAAATCATTTAACGAAAGCCAGCTGTGGACAATAGGACCAATCGATCGAGAAATTGTTCCTTTTTAAGCAGCAATCGTTCATCCCACACAAAGTCATTCATAGCAAGGAGAAATGGAAAAGTCAAAATAAATATATGCATCTATGACTCACTGTTCTTACACTTGATATTTCTTAATGTGTTTTGACTTCTTCTTATGAAGGTGGAAATGGATGAAGCATTTCTACTTGTAATATTTATATTTCTGCTAGAAAAATGCCATTTCTACTAGAATTTATCTATAAGATGAAAAAAAAGGATGATACTTCCTTGTATCTTTTGAATTCTCCTTATGAAAGCTTGTTAGCGCAGCCCCTTTGGGGCTGAAATGTGGAACTCACATATGTTCTTCAGCTTCGTTATATTAATACGAAATACAGAAGGTCTAAAATCAAGAATATTTTATTTTTCATTTTCTGACGGGCGCTCAATTTTTCGTTTTCATTGTTACTATTCACTCATTATTTTTTTTTTCGTATTTTTTTTTTGCATTATTTTTTTTTTATTTAATTCTATGATCATTGCAATCATTTATTCAACCGTCAAATATGCCTCTTACACATATACATTTAACCTACAGCAAGTATTAATGAACTATTATATATCTCTATCAAGTCACAACACTAGCAGTGAGTGAGTTTTTTTCAAATTAATAACTTGATCAATCGATGATT